CATTCTGAGAGCTATGTCACCCTTTTATCTCATTACATCCCTTTGAAATTTTTTTATTTTATTTTATTTTTACACCCCGTGGCTGATAGATATCATTGGTATATGTGTAAAATGTATAAAAATATGTGAATGTATATTAAAATTTTAAATTTTTTTGACATTATTTGTATCTTAACTAAAATCTAACTTATCCTTGTTTATGCTTTTATTCTCTTTACACTTTCTATCTTCTTCTTCTGTCTCTCTAGTAGATTTCCTCCTTTTTTTTTTCTTTTTTTTTTTTTCTTTTTTTCTACTGACTTTTCAAGTCACATATTTCTTTCACAAAATAATTACAGAAAAGTTTATAATTTTAATTATTAATATTCACAAAGTTTACCACTTATTTGAAATTATTATTTTTAAAAAATTATATTAAATTGTAATTTCTCTTGAAAAGTAATTTTATTTATGAATAAAATTAAAATAAAAAGATTGATCTGAGGAAGGTAATGAAATAAAAGTACAATGTAAAGAGAAGCAACCTCTCATGCTAGATTTACTGTATTTTTGATGTATATGGTAATTTCCCTCGGGGATATGCTAGATTTACATATCAGCGGTCTTTTTAAAATGTATTTACATATTCATGGAGAAGTTTGTAATTTAATAATGCTTATAAAGTTTATCATTAATATGTAATTATTTTTTGAAAGTTAGACTGATTTGATGTTTTTCCAATTCTCTTTGCCCCCACTGCTCTTACACCGATTTTACTATGTAGCGCATTTTATTTGAAGGTATCATTCTTCCAGCTTATTCTCTAACCATTAATTTTTAAAATTAAAAGAGAGAAGCAAGAATGAATTATCTTTTGGAAGCTATTTTTTTTTATTTATTAAATCAAATGTCATAATAATGTTTATAATTTTATTCATTATTATAGATGTTTCAATTTGTTCGAAAAGTAATTATATTTACACCAAGGCTTTGTTAAAATATTTTACTCCAAAATATTTTTCATGTAAATTGATTTTGCACAAAAAATATTTTTCTTAGTTATGCTTCGATTTATAATTTATTAAGGCTCTGTTTAAGTAAAATATTTTACACTATTTTTCTTGTAAATTGATTTTACAAAGAAAAAATGTTTTTGTTTTTGTTTTTGTTTTTCAGTGTTTGGTTGACAAATTTTTTTTTTTGGACAGAAAAAAAAACTTCATTCCATAATATTGCACAAAGGATATTACATTAAAAGTATTAACAAAGTCTACTAAACACTAAACAATACAGAAGGGCCAATAATGAAAATTCGTAGCAGACGCCTACCAGCATAAAAGATTAGAAGGACAAAGAGATGAAAAAACTACTTAAATCTGCAATACCATTACCTGCAAATATTAGGACAGAGAAAAGAAATAAACTACTCAAACCGTAACATTCCGTCTTTATGTTGCTTTGAAGAGAGTTGGATTGCTAATGCTGTGTTTGGTTGGGGTTTTTGGGGTGGGATTTGGAAAAGGAATGAGAAATGTAATCCTATTTATGTTTGGTTATAATAAAAAATATATGGGAAAAGAAAGGGGGTGAGAAATAAATAAAGAAATTGGAGACCTCTTAGGACATCAATTCTATTTTATAACCAACACAACCAAACATAGTTGGGATTTGGAATTCTATTAATTCTTTCTCCTTTTCCTTTCATTTCCATTTCCCTTTCCATTTCCTTTCCCAAATCCCCAACCAAACACAGCGTAAAGCTATTCTTGATAATTTGTTGCCTTTTCCTCTTTCTACCCATACTCAAACCACAACATTCCGTCTTTGTGTGGCTTTGAAGAGAGTTGAATTGCAAAAACTATTCTCGATGATATGTTGCCTTCTCTTTCTACCCACAAAGCTTGTAACTACGAACTGATAACCTTAATTGGACCCATAGCTCTGATAGGATGTTGCTTAAAACAAAACATTTTATTGTTTAAAAGAGAAATTTTGATTTAATAAAATATTATTTTAGTGAGTTAAAACATTTGTTTGAAAATACTTAATGTGATGAGCGAGAGTCAACTTTGTAAAAAAGATAAATTATAGTAAACCCCCTCAAGTATGACCTATTTTTGAGTTGCCCCTTAATGTTTAAGATACTCAACCCCTTACAATGCACTAATAAATCCTAAATTAATAACTTATACACTGTTCAGTCCTAAAAGTTTTCTTATAGACTGAAAGGTCCCATTACAATGTTTCAAACATCAGATTAATGTTTCGAACATTAGATTTCGAACATCAGATTAATGTTTCGAACATTAGATTGATGTGCAAATGGGACTAAATGGAGCATAAGAAAACTTTTAGGACTAAATGGTTCAACTTTTCAGAAATTAAGACTTATGGGTAAATTTTCCTTTATTTTGTGACTCTAAACCCCTTTTGTCATAACAGCATTAGGGATTTGGATGGAAATGTATCATGTGAGGATTGTGACTAAAATACCCTCATTGTATACTCCTCTCCACCCCATTATATAAACATTATAAACACACATTGTACATGTATATGTACTGCAACCAGAAATCCATGGCCAGAAGTGCCTCTTTTATTAGCCAAGTCACTAACAGCAAAAAAAATAAAATAAATAATAATAATAATTTGAGGGGTTTTGATGGTGATACATTGATTTGGTGTGAGGATTTTCATGGATATATGTTGAATTGAAAAAGGGGTTTTACTTTTGGGGGCTTTCAATGCGTATTGATGTGTTTGATCAGTGGGAGAGAGGCTGTGAAGAAGGGGTTTTAGCTCGTGGGAATTGAACGGGAAAGGTGGTGAGTGGTGGAGGAAATGAGGTGGAGGTGCAGAGATGGGAGGAAAGGAAAGAAAGGAAAACGAGGATGCTGTGGGTTGGAAGATGAGGCATAAATGATGCGTGGAATGAATACGTGGTGGGTTGCCATTGTCTTCAACTACCGTTGTGAACCATCGTCGTCACTACCACTATCAGCCACCACTAACACCTTTCTGTTACTCTTTCTCTCTCTGTCTCTCTAAAACCCTAAGCCTTTCTTCCTCTCTACCTACAACCCACCACCTACATCACCACCTCTGTCTCCATTGTTGCCCCTAACTTCACTCCCTTTGTGGACAATTAGGTCCAATGAAAATATGGGATCGCGGTGGTAATTTGCAGTCGCAAACTCTGCTTCCATTGTCAAAGGAATTGTTGTGTTTGTTAAGGGAAATTATAGAATGTTTGCGGAGTACCACGTGTCCGTACTCATTAACCAATCATTATTTAATATGTTTCATCATGTTTCTCAATTATCCAACATAATATCTCACTTACCCACCTTCTCCACCAATCACAATACTATGAAATATCACGTATCTATATTCTAGGATTACTGAATAATTACCTATTTGTTAATTACTACTGTGAAATTTGTTAAGGGTTTGTGATTGGATAAGAGTTTTGAGTTTGATTTGATTAGGGTTTCAAATGAGAGAATTGATGGATTGCTGGAAGGCTAAAGAAGTAAATTAATAATTTTTGTAAACGGTGTTATGGTGTCAACGATTTTTGTAATTCACACACTTAAAGGGGGTTGAGTGTTGTCTTTTAAACATTAGGGGGGCAACTCAAAAAAGGAACATAGTTAAGGGAGATTTGCTGATAATTTTATGAAATGACCTACAGCCACGTTCCAATGGACCTCTGGTTACTTCGTGACCTCCAACTATTCTTCAATAACTATTTTTGGTCCCCACATCCATCCACCCTCTATTGCTAGAGTTGAGATTCTTTTCTTGGGTTCTCTTCTTGCCTCCCTATTTATAACGGTGGAGACACACTTTGAGTTGATCCTTTCCTTCAGATTTATCTATTTAAAAATAAAAACAAAACAAAACCACAAATTCAAATTTGTTTTTCTCGCCCAAATCTAGATTTGCGAGTAGGGAGGCAAGGAAAGAGTCTAAGGAGAGGATCTCAGCTCCTATTGCTAGTCCCCATCTCCAGCAATTCACTAACATATTTATTCATTTTTATTGTCATTTGTTCTCAAAACTGTTTTTGTGTACACCAAACATTTTTTTTTTTCTACAAAAAATAAAAATATGTTGTGTTTTTTGTAAATAAAAAATAAGAAACAGATAACGTTATCAAACGACACTGAGAAACTACAAATGTATTCCGTCTTCTTTTTTTTCTTTTTACTATTTTTTTTTTATAAATCACAAATTTTTTTTTTCTTCTAATTTTTGTTTTGTTTTGTTTTGTTTGAATCACAAATTCTAAAACTAATTCCTCTTACGCAATAAAGAATTAGCCTCTTTAAATTAAAAAATATAAAGAGGTGAGGAGTAGTAGTGTTCAACAATGAAAGTGGGGGATGGGATGGGGTATAGGGGGAGGGAAAGAAAAAATAAAATAAAATAAAAATTGAAGTGTGGTGGTTCAAGTGTTATGAGGTTATATTTTAGCGAATATTGTGACAGATTGCTATTGAATGTAACTATTTTGTTTCAAAGGTAGACGATATTATTTTTTATTTTTTATTTTTTTTCCGATTAGAGAACAAGTGTTATGAGATTATATTTTAATTTTGTTTTGATTAGAGAACAATTTAATCATTTTCATAGATTGCCAAGGGGTTTAAGGATGAGTTTTGGCCAACTCGTGTCATGTGGGCATTTTTCATGTCAAAAACCAAAACTGCTGAAATTTGGATCAAAGTAAAAAAATTAATAATTTAAGAATAAAAAATGAGATTATTTTTGAAACATATTTCTCCAAATCTTCTAAGCAAATTGTAAAATAAAAGTTAAAAAATGATAATATCTAGATGCAAAAGTAAAATTATTTACCCTTCAACAAAAAACATTAGTATGAATTATATATATACTTTCTTAATTTATTATCAAATCTAAAAATTATTGTTTACTTGAACACCATCACAGCAAACCGAAAATTTGAATTTCTTACAAATTCAAACTCGGTTACGAACTCTTGAAAACGATTCAAATTAATTAACAGTGACCAAGTTTATGATAATAATATCGCATTTTCTTAATCTTAATCTTAACATTACCGCCGCAGCTCAAAGTTCTAAAAGTACTCTAATAATCCCAAAGCAAATGTGATAATTACTGCAACATTATCCTAATTATAAAATCTTCTCATAATAAGCTAAAATAAACATACAGTTAGCGAACCCAAAGTCTCATTAAAAGATAGTACTCCAAAGGCGAGGTTGTCGATTATTCCGAGGATTCACTTCTTCCTCTTCTTTGGTGGCTGGAGTGCTTCTTCCTCCTCATCCTCTTCCTCTTCCTCCTCTTCCTCCTCCACAACTTCCTCTTCACCCTCTTCTCCACCGTCGTCATCGTCATCGTCGTCGTCATCATCGTCATCGTCATCATCGTCGTCGTCTTGGTCATCTCCGTCCTCCTCGTCATCATCTTCCTCTTCACCGTTCTCTTCAGCCCCGCCCGCACCTCCTGGACCTCCTTTCTTTGAGTTGCTTTTGTTGTTGTTTGGGGGGTTGTTGCCGACATCACCATCGTCTTCTGATGACAAATCCTCTTCGCCTTCTCCAAAGCCACCTTCACCCTCATCGTCATCATCATCATCACCGTCATCTTCCTCGGCATCTAATGGCTTGGAATAGGATCGGCCATGATAGTCTCCTTTGATTCCATGGCTGACGCTTCTTAGTGATCCGAGGAAATCCTGAAAACCATGCATTTTACAATAGGGGCAGGGCATATCCCTCAGAAGGTCAAGGAAAGCAAAGAACAGAAGAAATTTAATGGATGGTTGAAAATGTCATAGATATGAAAGCATTAGATGGCCAGCATGAACACAAGGCATAAACTAATCACATAGATTCATCGACCAAAGGATTTCTAAGTGGGATTATCAGGGTATTTGGATACATACATATATTCGATTTCTCAAGTCACCAATAATCTGCAAACAGTTTACGAGCGAACTTAAGCGCTTGAGCCACTGTTACCTCCTACTAACAATAAACTAGAAGATCTAGCAATATAGTTCAATTGGCACACCACTTTCAATCCTCAGCATTATTTCTTGAATTGGGGGATCTCTATTTTGATCAACCAAGCACCAAGACATCAAAAATGGAGAGAAATCAATGGGCACAAATTGTGACTTACTGTAAAAATTTAACTTCCACTATGTTCTCCTTGGGAAAGTGTGCTATCATTCGAACTTTTACGCGGTTGTATGATCTTATATGAATACCATGTCGCCATTTTAATGTGTCAAACACCTATTTTTTGAAATGGAAATTAGGAAAGGAATTGGGAAACTAGAAGAGTTTTTATAAAGCTGCCCCTACATAGAAGAATCTCAACTGTGGAAGGCAAGAATGGAAGAATCAAACATTAACTTTCAATTACCATTAACAATATATCTTCTTTTTTTTTTCGTCAAGTTAACCTCAGCTAATTCTAGCCCAAACCCTTTCCTAATTTCATTATCGTTTCTCTTTTCATAAAACACCAAGATTAAAGCCATATAGGCCACAACATTTGATTGTTGGGAAGCCTTCTTTGGGATCCTGTCCTACATCTACATCACTAGTGATGAGCAAAAATCTAAAAGCCAGAGGAATTCAAACCAGATCCTATAGATCTCTAGAGAAGTTAATCGTGGCTGTGGTACAACTTATGTAGCAGCTGCTTATAGCTTCTTATATTTTAAAAACATGTGTCAGTGTGTTTGGTTTTTTATGAGGTAAAATAACTGAAATAAACTTTAAAAAATTAATTATTGGGAAGCAAGAAAATAAGTGCTTTTAGCATTTTAGCTTCTGCGTTCTAATTGTTTGTTAGAAGCTGCACAAAACACACCCAATAATTCTCTGGATCTCAGCTCTGGATCTCAGCTCTGGATCTTACTACATGAACTGCAATGCCTAATTTAATGGAGGGCTAGGTCTTCTCTTAACAGAATTTCAAATATGTGCAAGGGAAATGGAAAAATTATTGCATGCCAAAAGTGTATCATGCGAAAATACCTTATATCCTTCAACAATTACAAATTATTAAGGATTTGATTGGAAATGACCTTTTTAGTGTTTTTTTAAGAGATGTAAAAATAAAAAAAAAAATAAGTAAAAGACAATAAAATTGACTTTTTAACTAAAACCTTCTAATAGATAAACACCACTGTTCCCCCAAACACTTCCTATGTTCTCTCTCCAAATATCAACAAAGACAAAAATAGATGGACACCACTGTCACAACCAATTAAAAAGATGACGGCACACCACCATTGTCATATCCTCCCAGCGTGAAAAAAAAAAAAAAAAATCTTTAATTGAGCGTGAAAAAAAAAAAAAAAAAAAAAAAAACTAGATTGACCATTTTTATTTACCATTTCATATGACATTTTATAATTATTAAATCAGAAATGATATATCTTTCTAATTTGGGAGTTCTAAAAGAACACTAATAATATGGAAAATAAAAAAAATAAAAAAAAATCAAGGCCAAAACATCAATGTCACATGAGACCCACACACCAATTAGAGCTATTAGAGCTCTTATATACAACTCCCATTTTTTTTCTTCTTACAAATATATTCACAAAATGTTGCAGTAGATTAGTGACACGTGGTTGTATTCCTCAAAACTTTAATCAAGCCCATCCAATTTTAAGAAACTCTAATGATGACGCGTGTCCATAAAGCTGGCGTTTATTAGCAGCAGGGGCATACACCGACGAATATTCGAAGACAATATATATATCACCCACACCACAAATAAACAAACAAAAAGATATACTTTACTATTAATAATACAATAAAAACAACATATTACCATTAAATTTTCCTTTTTGACTTTTCTTCAAATACACGACAAACAGATTTTTCGTTTTTTTTTTCTGTTTTCGTGTGCTCCCAAGTGGGTCCACCACTACTGACCCTTCTTTAATGATATTTCCCTCTTTCTTCTTCTGCGGAATTTTTACGCTAACATGGACCCAAAGCGCAAGTTAGCAAAAGATGACCGGCAAAACCAGACCTAAACATCCGCTCACGATAGCAACAACAGATAATAGTAGGGAAGCCAGTTTAACAGTGCACGCTAGCACACACCCAAAAACGCAGGCTCATTTTAGCAAAAAACTTTTTGGCTGTTTAGAGTATGAATTTAGATTAGGATCATAAAAAAATATATATTTTACACTTCTTATTTCTTTTCAAATTTGTGCTTGAATTCATATTCTAAACATAGCTTAAAACATTTATAACCGAAATTTCATGTGCACGATAGCAAAAACGGCCAACAGGGAAAAAAACATAGAAAACATATAGCGCAGATGCTCACCTTACAGCCCCAACAAACAATAAAAAAACGCACCAGGCGCATGATAGCAAAGAGCATGGAAATTAGAGAGAGAAGAAAAACACTTCCAAATAGTAAAAACTGTACCGTGTACAGTTTTACACACCGTAGACATCAGCTAAAGCACAGAGGTATTAGGACTATCATAGCCACAACACATCCTTAAAAGTCACCAAAAAAAAATAAAAGGAAAAAAAAAAAAAAACAGAAAGCTTTTTACCTGAGTTTGACCTGAAAGCTGGTTGGTTTTGACTAGGACAGCCGAGACTAGCATAGCTGCTAAAGCTTCTCCGGCGCACGTTAGCAGGTACTGGTTAAGTGCAGTAGCCACACTAACTAAACCACAGTTAGTCTCCATTTGTACGGCGCACGACACAACCTGCAATCATCCGTATATGATAGGACCGTTAGTTAGATCCAATCTGCCTCTTTTCCCATCTCCCAAATCACACTGTTTTTCAAATCATTCACACACTCAAAACATATAAAAATACATTTCTATTTTATTTTTTTTATTTTTTTTTATAGGAAAAGCTGAACACAGAAATTATTTTAAAAAATGTTGATAGTGGAAGAAGAAGAAGAAGAAGAAGACGACGACGACGACAAGAGAACGAGTCTACTTTTTTGTAGCGAAATTTTAAAGGAAAATTCAAGATAGCAAGAAAACGAGTCTAAACTTACCAGAAAAGCAAAAATTCAAACAGATCAAGCATAAACTAAGCAAAATAAACCTAGAGAACTTCAAATCAGAACAAAAGTCACAGATCGAGCTCGAGATCTGAAAAACAGATGATCAAAAAACGGATCGGAGAAGAGAAACGTACCAGAGATGTAGATCTGAGATCGGATGAAGCAGATCTGGGGATTTGAGAAGCTAAAACGTGAGGAAACTGAGATCAGAGGCTGCGTTCATTGTGGACCGTTGGATTGAGATCGTAGAGACAGAACAGAGACGGAGAGATAGATATAACCAGAGGAGAGAGGGAAAGTGAGAGAGAGGATGTGTGCGCGCTGCTGGTGTTACTGAAGCTGCCCGTAATTCTCACAGAGGGTCACGGGCAGGTCGGGCAGCGTCCTCGTCAAGGGAAATATCGGTGGGCTTGGAGCTGCCCGTAAAACGACTCTGGATTAGACTTTTTTGGAGACCAAGTTGGGTTTTAATAATTTTAATTTTTTTTCCAGGTCCTTTTTTATAAATTTAATCCTGGTCTTTAGATTATTATTTAACTCTGATTAATTAACCCTACTTTTCTATAAACTCTCACGCGAGTACTATGCTAGTTAGCTACTGTAGATGACACTAACCATGGTTAGATAGTTAACTTGATTAGGGTTAAAGGTGGGGGGAAACCATGGTTAGTTTGTGGTTGAGATGAGTTAATTTGTATCAAAGCAAAATCATGTACACAAGTGTGGCTGAGTCTGTTGACTTTTTAAAAGGGCAAAAAAATATCCTATTATCCGACCCGATTCGATTCCAACGGATCCGAATCATTGCCCCGGATGAGGATTTAAGATAAACCTACACGTGGCATATGTCAAGCCTTTATTGTGCAAATTAAAAAGAAAAAATTACAAATCACCATGCATAGGTTCTGTTTGGCAAGTTGAATTTTAGTGTTTTTTTGGGTTAAATTTTTTAAAAAAAGAAGATAAAATAGGTTAAAATAACTAATAAAATAAAATGTCACATCAATCTTATAATTATTTTATTTTTTCTTTCACAAATATTACATTAAACTATAAAAAAATTCAACCATCTTCTTAAACATAAAATTTTTAATTTACTAAAATAGGCAAAAATTAAAATAGTCTACTAAAATAGCCAACTTTCCAAGCGAGGCCATAATACAAAATAATTATAAATATATGGGTGTAACTCTTTTTTCTTTCTTTTTTTTTTAATGTAATAAACATAACAAAAGTTACTCTCTAAGAAGATTTTCATTCTTTAATAAATAATTGTCCCATTTTTCACTGATAATTTTTCCAATTAAAAATAATCTTGCTCATCTATAAACAAAATCCTTCGATCCCAAAAATTGTTTTAAAATAATTAACACATTTCAATAAACTTTTAACTCAATTTAAATAATGGACCGAAAAAGTGATGTTCTCCCACTTAATAAACAAAATCAAACTTGAGTAAATTTACGTTTAGCATATCAAACCTAGGATTTGTAGAGTATGCTTTAATTTTGAATTTTTCTAAATAAAAATATATGGAAAATAAAATTATTCATATAATTTTGTGTGTAATTAAATAAAATAGATTTTTTTATCAATATATATTCATTTTCTTTTTATTTTCGTAACTCAATCAAAAAAGAGAAAAACAAAAGTTAGCTTCTTTTATTTCTTTTTCTATATATATATATATATATTTTTTATTTTTCTCGCCAAAAATCAAGGATCCAAACACAAGTGTGAGTGAGGGAAAGCGAAATAACAAAATAACAATATCTAAGAATTCACTTATTTGGGAACATACATATTCAATGAATCTACACTAATTCATTTATAACTTTGCTAATTTTTAGATAAAATAATGACGTATTATTTAGTTATTGAAAGCACAAAATATAATTTAGCCAAATATAAAGAATGTGCAAATTGAAAGAGTTAAAAAGTATGAAAAGCTTATATTCCTTTGCATGAGAAGGTACTTGGAACAATGAGTAGTCAAATTCAACCACTCAAGAATCAAATATGCTTGGGCACTCAACTTCTTTAGATGTTCCAATTACCAAATTAATATCTCCCATCTTTTTTATTTTTCATTTTAAGTGGGGTTTCCATGGGTGTAAACCATATGGTTTCCAAAATATCTCATTGAAAAATAAGATTATTTTTTAAGGATTTGATAATAATGCGTCGAAAAAATTACTGTTAAAATCAAGTCAAAAGAGAGAAAAAAAACATTAGGATAAACTACTAATAGATCTTAATAGTTGGACTTAATTCTCATCAAGTTCTATTGAAAATAAGTCATAGTACAATCGTTCCTAAAAATAATTTTTTGTGACGTTTTTTTACATATGTGGATAAAAATTGACAATTAGTGACTTTTTTTTGTTGCGATTTTTATAAATTATTTCTAAAGCTTACAATTAGTGATACTTTTCTGTGACGACTTTTTCAAACTATCATTGAAAGTTGAAAATTAGTAACTTTTTTTTGTGACGATTTTTATAAACTGTTTCTAAAATTTATAATTAGTGATATTTTTTGTGACAAAATTTTCAAATTGTCGTTGAAAATTAATAATTAATGACATTTTTTTTTATAGTGTATGATGAAAAATACCATTAATTATTATAGGACCTATTGGACAATAAATCTATTTAATAGGACTTATACGTAAATCTCTCAAGAATTATTGAGTTTTGAGTGTGGTTACTCTCATCAATGACAAAAATGGGAAGACAATATCTTGGTCATGTACTCTCTATATGAAAAAATTGTTTAGAAGCGAGAATGAGGGCTCATTTGGAAAGCTGGTTAAAAGTTAATTTTTGTCTTTTAATTTATTTTGGGTCACTCACCTCTCACATTTTTTATCCACAAAAAATTCAAAAAAAAACCAAAAATTCAACTTTTAACCAACTTTCCAAAACACTCATAAATTGACTTTTTACTATGCATGTTTTCTATGTTATACATTGAGTTTTGGTATCCATAATATTATTTTGGGTGATTCTACCTATACCACTCATTTATCTCTTAACACCTTCCATCTTATTACACCACTAAAAAAAAAAATTAGATTCTCATTACACCCAATATATTACCAAAACAAACCCTAAGGTAAAAAAATCTTCAAAATCCATCTCTTTACACCCATACTTTTTCAGTGTTCAGTTGCCGGAAATAATAGATCCCTCTAGCATTTTGTTGCTATACATTTATAGAGCCACTTTCTCCTAAACAATGTTTGTGTAATTTGTGTTGGGCCTGTTCGGTAATACAATAATTATCAATTTGAATTACTCTAGTGTCATGTTACCAGATACAATTTTTTTTCCCAACATCATGTGTACCGTACAATTGGATAATTTCAGTTTGCTTCACAACAATGCTAGTGGAGCCTACATTGAAGTGCTTGTTCGGTCACACAATGCGAAACACTTTACAAAACTTCGGTGTTATAACGCCAGAATGAATTACCCTTTTGTTCCCATACATTTACAAAGCCACTTCCAAATAATGTGGAAATAATTTATGTGGGGTTTGTTCGGTAATAAAATGCTAATGAATTTCAACTACTCTAGTGTCATGTTACTAGACAAACTATTTTTTTCCAACATTATGTTGCCATACAATTGGATAATTTCAATTTGCTTCACAACAAAGTCAATTGAGCCCACTGTGAAGTGTCTGTTCGGTCACACGGTACTAGACAAATTACATTTTCCCGGTGTTATGTTGTTAGAAAAAATAGATTTGTCTAGCGTTTTATTGCTATACATTTATAGAGCCACTTTGTTTCAAACGATAATTTGGGCCTGTTCAGTAATACAATGTTAACGAATTTGAATTAATCCAGTTAGATAAAAAATATCCATAAATCAAACACGCATCTATAAAATCATACATAAAAAGTATCCATAAAATTTTTCATAAAAAAATCAAGTGTACGAATATGCATAAAAGCTGTCATTATTTGCATCTATCAATCAAACATGTTATCACAATTTGTCTATATCGATTGTTTCAGTAGTTACTATGCCAGGGCTAATAAGAGTACGAAATTGATGGATACGGATAGTATATGCTTTCTTCCATCCACTAGCACACGGGTGATGAAAATGAATCCAATTATTTGTTATCGGAGGAACTAGATGAGTAGGTTGTAGATAAACCTATAACAAAGAAATTAATAAGTAGAATTACAAAATAAGACATGGTAATGATCTAAGTAGGCTCGGTAGTTACTTGCACAAAATGGTTTCCATTTACAAATCCTATGCAGATATCTTTTCGATCAGGTGTTTTAATCGGTACTGATCTAAGTGGTAGAACTGTCAAGCATTATTGTATGGATAAATGATAAAGAACGACTTGATAGTATGATACTATCAAATGGCTCATGTCGGGCATAGTCATCCAATGATTAAATCCAGGGCTAGGTTCGAAGTAGAATAAGATAGAGTTAAGGTCATTAACCCTTTCTTGTGAACCAAATAGTTGCACGTAGTGCACAACATTCGAATGCAACTCAGTCAACAAGTTGCGCCTAACTTGTTGCTAATCATCTTCACCTAAACCAATCAATCCAACTATTGCCCTGAAACCACAATTGCCATCTGCTTATACATCTTTTATGCAACGGATATACGGTTTTAACTTCTCCGAAAATTGTTCGAAGTAAGAGATACGATTTGTTGACTGCGTCATACAGACCTACATCACAAATATACAGCAATGGATATATGAAATAATTAAAATGAGGCTGAACAATTATTAAAATAAATTTTGTACATAGTTATAAGTTTTATGTAATTACATACATTATCGTTTTTTGTCTTCTTCCATTGCAGTTGCTTACAAACTGGTGCAGTTAAGATGGTAACACCCCGCGAATAACTATATTCCCTAGATAGTACAAACTCAAAAGCAGATAGCTCACATTTAGTAGATGTATCGATTTTGAATACCACAGTCGCGTCCTCGACACCCACCTTGCGTGTCAGTTTTGAGTTCAGGTTCCATAAAAAATGTACGGTTTGGACTAATTAACTCCCTCAACTTCTTCAGAAGGATCACTTGGTGCGTCTCGTCAATTGTTTGGAATTTCTCAATAAAAAAACCAATCTCTGTTTCGCAATCCAACTCCACAAAAACACTTTTTGAAACTGGAAGCATATCTAACTTCCTCCAATGAGGATTTATGCACGAGAGGGGAATCAGTTGACCTTGTTGAAAATACTCAGCTATGTCATGTGCACATGGCAACGCATGTGTACATCGCAAAATGCAGCCATATGCAGCAACATCTATTCCCACACTATTCGATCTCTTTGACTCTATCAATATTTTGTCCAAACTACAAATTGAAATAAAACCACGTAATTCAATGAACTCAGTAGGTGTGTAGTTGTGTTGGACTACAATCAAACTCTGTTGAAATGAAGCTTTAATGT